ATGCTAGGGGCTTGGAAAACACACTTACTGCGGTTCAAACGCAACCCAGCTTCTGAGAGCTTCTTCAACACCTGCTCAAGGTTACGCAGATGCTCCTCTTCTGTTTTACCTGTAACTAAAATGTCATCCAAGTAAACAGCAACACCAGGAATGTTTTGCAGAAGATTGTCCATGGTGCGCTGAAAGATAGCCGGACTGGATGCAACGCCAAACACCAGGCGGTTGTACTTGAACAGCCCCTTGTGTGTGTTTATTGTCACATATTTTTTTGATTGCTCATCCAGCAGCAACTGCTGGTAAGCATGACTCATATCCAACTTTGTGAATGTCCGACCACCCGCCAGTGTGGCAAACTGGTCATCCACTTGAGGCAGAGGGTAGGCATCGAGCTGAGAGGCTTGTTTTACTGTCAGTTTGTAATCACCGCATATACGCACCCCTCCGTCCTCTTTCAACACCGGTACAATCGGGGCTGCCCAGTCCGAGAACTCTATTGGCTCAATGACCCCTATCTGTTGTAGTCTCTCCAACTCTGCTTCCACCTTGGCCTTCATGGCGTATGGTACAGTGTGTGGTTTGAAAAAGCGTGGCCGGGCAAAAGGGTCCACACACAGCTTCACAGTGGTGCCCCGGAGAGTGCCCAATTCATTCTTGAACACATCTGCATACTTTCCCAGTAACTCTGCTATTACCGTTACATACCTGATTTCCCTCCAGTTCAGGCGGATTTTTTGCAGAAGGTCACGACCCAGCAGACTAGGCCCCTCCCCTTTCATCACCAGTAGTGTTGCTGCAGCTTCTTGACCCTGATATGCTGCATGCACCTCTATTGCACCAAGCAGGGGAATGCATTCACCTGTGTACTGTCTCAGGCTTATCTCAGTCGCTTGGAGAGCAGGTGCCCCGCCCTAGTGCCACAAGCTGTGGTAGGTGGCTTGGCTGATCACCGAAGCTGAAGCCCCTGTATCCACCTCCATTTGTAGCTCCTTCCCATTTACCTGGACAGTGGCATAGATGGGCTCCGCACAGCACTTATTAAAGCCAACCAGATTAAACATGTTGAAAACACACTCATCCTCCTCAGGCGCCATGCCCTGCAGGTGATGCGTGTTTAGTTTGTGTTTTGTCTTCCATTCCTTCTTTGATTTCTCCTTAGTGC